CTGGACATTGAGCCATTGACCACTACCCTCTGGATGGAACCATCTAACCAATTCCTCACCCACCGGACAGTCCACCCATCAAGTCCATACCTCTCCAGTTTAGAGAGAAGGATGTTGGGGAGGACCGTGCCAAAGGCCTTACAGAGGTCCACATAGATGACATCTGTAGCCCTTCCCGTGTCCACTGATGTAGTCACTCCATCACAGAAGGCCACTAGGTTAGTCAGGCAGGACTTGCCCTTGCTGAAGCCATGCTGGCTGTCTCGAATCACCTCCCTGTCCTCCATGTGCCTTAGCATAGCTTCCAGGTGATCTTCCCAGGCACAGAAGTGAGACTGACAGGCCTGTACTTCCCCAGGTCTTCCTTTTTTCCCTTTTTAAAAATGGGGGTTATGTTTCCCCTTTTCCAGTCAGTGGGAACTTCACCGGACTGCCACGACTTCTCAAATACGATGGATAGTGGTTTAGCATCTTCATCCCCCAGTTCCTTCAGGACTCGCGGATGGATAAATACCAGATTAGGTTCAAGGCCAGTGCTTTTATCATAACTCTCCCAGGCAAAACTAAGTGCTAAGCAGCACAGCAAACTGCAAAAGCTGAAAGCAGCCATTAACAAACCCTCAAATTTGATGTACAGTAAGAGAGGGAGCATGCCATGGAGCAGGTAAAGGAACAAATAAACCAGTGTCGAGAACAAATACATCAATATTATGACCAGCCACAGCTAAACAGGTGTAACTACTATAAATTCCTGCCTAGTACACTCCAGTCAAATCTATTGTGATGTCGAACCCCTCTGGCCCCATGTTGGGCACCAAAAAAACCCCACTCTGATGGGTTGACCCCAGCTGACAGCTAAGACCCCATCCAGTCACTCGCTCTCTCCCCCTCAATGGGATGAGGGAGAGAATCAGAAGGGCAAAAGGAAGAAAACCTTATGGGTGAAGATAAAGGCAGTTCAATAATTGGAAGGGGGAAAAAAGGGAAAAATGGGGAAAAAACCCCCAAAAAAACAAGTTGTGCAAAAGCAATCACTTACCACCAGCAGACTGATACTCAGCCAGTGTCCGAGCAACAGCTACTTTGGAGAAATTCCTCCCCACCCATTTTATTGCTGAGCATGATGCTATATTTTATGGAATATCTCTTTGGTCAGAAGGGTCAGCTGTCCCAGCTGTGTCCCCTCCCAGCCTCTTGCCAACCTTTTGCCTACTCGCTGTCGGGGCAGAGTGAGAAACAGAGACGGCCTTGATGGCTGCTGTGCAAGCATTGTTAAGCAACAGCTGAAACACTGCTGTGTTATCAACACTGTTTTGGTCACAAATATAAATCACAGCAGCATATGAGCTGCTATGAAGGAAATTAACTCCATTCCAGCCAAACACAGTACAGGTGCACAGCAGAAGGATGAGAAGCAACATTCACAAGTTGCATCAAGGGAAATTCCTATGGGATACTGTGGCCATCCACTTCCCCCTGACAAGGTCAAACACACATGCTGTGCTGATAGCAGAATCAACAGGGACAAAAGGGTCTCAGTTCCTCAACTACCTGGCATAGATTGATACAGGAATCCTGGCATCTCTGAATGAAAGGAAATAATGCTCCAGGATGCCAACTGAAGAGGTCAGCAAAAGTCAGTATGAAAACGCATATGCTGTTCATGTGAACATGAACATGGCTTATGGTTTGAGCCACCGTAACCTAAACCTATAAAAACATATCAGTAAGCATTCAGAGAACTCATAACCACACATAGCTGGGCTATGTGTATTGCAGACTCCCCGATGAGAAGGGATGCCCACTAGTATCATGACAGATATGAGTAGAGAATACTTAGAGACTGGTGAGTAATTTGCTATGGCCATAAGATAGCGTAAGAGCATTAAGTTTACTAATGTTTACTAATTAGACACGTAATAAATGCAGAATTATGTGGTAGTCTGTTCACATAACTGGAGGATCCAAAAGAACCATGACAGATATAAGGAAAAAAAAAAACCTAAAAAAAAAAATCACAGTGAGAGTCGTTAAGCAGCTGGAATGAGGCTGTCAGCCTGAATAGATTCAGGCTTTCCATGTGTGAACCAATGACATCAGATACCCAAATGACTCAGGATAGGAAAATATTCTAATTTTGAGAAAGTACACATGACAATAGCTTGGAATATAGGGCCAACCTCATTTTGTTTTGTTATTCCTAGATTATGTCATTGGTCTTCTCATCTTTTTTTTTTTTTTTTAAACTTTACGTCCCTTCCCTGGAGGTAGGTGAATCTGCAGAGAGCAGAAATTATTTCCACTGGTGAACATTGGGACGTGAACTTCAGGGGAACTTTTTGTCAACATCATACAGTAGATTGTGTCTCAGAAGTCAACATCGAACATACAAGGCTTACCGGGAACTCATGCGGTTAATAACTGAGGACCTGTAATCTGATTGCATAGCCAAAATATCTGCAATAATGAAAAGATACTGTTAATGCCAAGATTAGGATTACCAAAGATATGCAGTTTATGAAGGAAAGCAAATATTTGATATTAACATAGGAAATTATCCTAATAAAACTCAATGGGAGATCTCATGGAAGGGGGATGGAATATTTACTTACAAATTTTCTAAGCTGATTTTCTCAATTCCTGTAAATTCTATCATAGATTTCATAAACTTGCACTCTTATACCCACATATGCAGAAGCACCAAGATATCTGAGGCCAAATGATCTGGCCAGGATCACTTGCATGGGACACAGAGAACAAGGGATACCAGCTATTGATTTCCTCATCACATCCGCTGGGGTTCTTTCTGATTGGTGACGATGAACTGTTTTCTGAACATATCTGTCATACTCTCAAAGAGTCAACAGTTGCTATGGAATGTTTTTTTGCTTCAGAATCTTGCTGCTTTGGTCCCCATAAATCCTAGGCAAAGTTGCTGCTCATAGGTTGGTTTTCCTTGTTAGCAATAACGTTTTGAACAAGTGTCTGTTTTCACTTGTTTGGCTAAAAGAAAAAGAAATTGTGCCTGTGACATGCTGCAACCTTGCAGCCATTGTCCTGTTGTAAGGATACAGGACCTTCTGCTAATGAGTCATTTGTCCTGTGGTCTTGTCTTAGAGTGCAGACCTTCTGGTTATGACATTATCAACACATTTCTCAATTGTATTGCTGAGAATGGAATAGCATTTTTGTGATTAGTGCTGGCTATTCTTCTAACTCCTGTTTTGGTGTTTTCACACACACATTTCCATTCATATTTCATTCACAGCAACCAAATCTCTAATAAAAACTATAAATAACTAAGCTTGAATGGAATTCTCCAAAACTGTGATGTCCTTAAACTGAAGGTAGTTATTTTTCTAAAAACTATTTGCTAGCTCAGTTAGAACATATCAACATGTAAAAGTTTATAAAGTGTATGGGCTGTTAGACTGGAACTCATAGAAAATAATAATAATAATCATCATCATCATCATCCCTTTTGGATTTAACATATATTTACTCCAGCTTTCACTTCTTTGTTTAGATTTCCAGATCACAAAGTCCAATTTACCTTTACTATGCAAGTCCCACTGAAGTATGATACTCTGTTTTAAACTGTTATCCTCTTATAAATCTCAAAAATGTTTTGAAGGCCTGGTTCTTGTTTCTCATCTAATCAAGTACGGCTTATTTTCCTCTAACACTAACATTTCACAATTAAGTCTTTAATTTCCTTGGAAAGATGTTAGAATGACTCACAAGAGATACCTTCTTCCCTGATCCAGCTGGGCTGCTTTCTTTCACTCTTTTAATCTCTTCTCTAAATACCTTTCCCCGTAGAAGAGTCCTACCTTCTGGGGATGGGGCAGGAATGACCCTCAAGATCTGCTCTATTTGATTCACTGTTGATGTTCCAGGAAAAAGAGGTTTCCCAAGTAGCAGCTCTCCCAGAATACAGCCAATGCTCCACATGTCTACACCTTTAGTGTAACTACAAATAAGAATAGAACAGAGTTAGGACTAAATCAAGCAAATATTTTTCTGTACCTGATATTCACATCATCTACATTAGCTTATTTTTCTAGAAAAAAAAAGCTTGATGACTCCTTGAATACGAACGCTCACAGGTTTTAACTATAAAGTGAACGAGATTCGGGAATCATGAAACTGGCAAGCATAAAACAGAAAGGAGATTTATCCTACTAAAAGTCTATTCTAGGAAACCATAAAAGGAAATATATTAAAGATAAATGCCAGGACAAGGTAATACATACTTTTCATATGACCAACAGTGAAGATACAAGTTGCTGTTTGGAAACAACAGACTTTTCAGGGCATCTAGAAAGTAGTTACAATTACTTAAGCAAAGTAAATGCCAAACAATGGGTAAATGACAGTTTGCAAAACATACACATTTCAAATTTTGATACTAACCCAGCCTATATTTATTTTCTTTTCTGATTGTTGTAGTGTAACCTGGCAGGCAGCTAAACACCACACAGCTGTTCGCTCCTTCCCCAGCCCCAGTGAGATGGGGCAGAGAGTCGGGGGAAAAAAAAAAGTAAAATTCGTGGGTTGAGATAAAGACAGTTTAATAGCACAAAAAAGGAAGGGAAAATAATAATTATAATGATAAAAGAATATACAAAATAAGTGATGCACAATGCAATTGCTCACCACCTGCCGACCAATGCCCAGCCAGTTCCCGAGCAGCGGTCACCCCTCCCCCCGCTGACTGTCCCCAGTTTATATACTGAGCATGACATCACATGGTATGGAATATCCCTTTAGCCAGTTTGGGTCAGCTGTCCTGGCTGTGCCCCCTACCAGCTTCTCACTGGCAGGGCATGAGAAGCTGAAAAGTCCTTGACTAGTGTAAGCACTACTTAGCAACAACTAAAACATCAGTGTGTTATCAACATTATTCTCATACTAAATCCAAAACACAGCACTATACCAGCTACTAGAAAGAAAATTAACTGTATCCCAGCTGAAACCAGGACACTGATCAATAAGATTTTGTCTATTTAAGTCAAAAAAAGGACTAGGCCTGACTAACAGGCAGCTCATTTAACTTTTGATTGCAGAATATTTTCTGAAGGTCTATCAAAAAACTCCCGTTAAATTTGGAAAAGAGGACTAAGGTACTCAACCAAATTTTGTAAAGATGCAGATTTAAGGGGAGAAAGCATAAGTCTAGCGGGAGAAAGGATGACAAACAGATGAGCTGATAATGTATGTAAATGGACAATTTAAGAACCCAGGAAGAAAATGTACATGTAATGAGAGATTTTTATGTTGCAGAACTGAAGTTTAAATGCATATTGAGAAAATGGACTGCTGACATGACATTACATCTGCAGCTATCTAAAATGAAAAGATTTAAGACTTTTAGACAATAAATTTTCCCAGTGGTGAAGAAATTATAGAATCCCATCCCTTTGCTCATATTAAGCAGTTACCTCCGAGAGGAAAGTAAGATCTCAGGGGCTCGGTACCAGCGTGTTGCCACGTATTCCGTTAGAGCAGGGTTCCCTTGGTCCTCAGTCATCTGACATAAAGAACGGGCCAGCCCAAAATCACAAAGTTTAACAAAGCAGTCTGCATCCAGCAAGATATTTGAAGGCTAAATTAAACAAAGGAAAATTAATAAGCTTTTTACTCTTTGAATGGCAGAAGATTATTATCAAGGTTCTTTTACTAGTCTCATTCTTTTCAAACTTTTCCGTTCAGTGTTTAACAGAAAACTTGAGTGAAGGATAAAGACTATGACTGAAATATACCTTCTGATCTCTGTGAATAACATTTCCTGAGTGGATGAACTTAGTTGCCTTCAGGAGTTGGTAGAGAATGTAACACTTGTGGATATCTTTCAGCAAATTCCCCTTCTTAATCACAGCATGTAAATCTGTCTCTGTAATATATCACATCAGTAATATATTTACATCAGTAGAGGATTATCAAGTTGTGAATATAAGTTCCTCAAAGCAAGGTCAGAATAGACCATTGTTCAAACTGTAATCTTTCAAGTACATCCTCAACAGAAGTTAATACTGTAATTACTAATAGTACTGCAATCTCTCTGTATTATCAGTTTGACTTGCAGCTCATGCTACAGTAACTGTTCTATTATTGCATACTTTGTTATAATAAAATTGCACATAGTCTCTTCCATATGCAACTCTTCTGTCTCTACAGGCCTTCTAATTGGTTGCTCACTGCTGTCTTTCCTTCATCTCCACCAGCCAGTTCTCATATAATTATTACTCCCTTTAAAATTTCACTGCTATTCCCATCTAATCACAACTGATATATATATATATAAAACCCCCTGTACTGCTCCTACTTATATGTCTGCTTACATGAATATTCACGTAAATCATCAACACACTAATATCAAAGTAGGGAACAAAGATAAGTCATAAGAGAGGCTGTATTTAAATGGCTGATGCAATGCTAAGTCTCACCCATGGACTCAAAGATGAGGTAGATGTCCTTGTCGTTCTGAGCTCGGATAACATCAAGCAGCTTGATGATATTTGGATGTTCTCCAAATTCCTCCAGAGGGAAAAGACCCAACAGTCAAAATCAAGTGTCTTGCTTGTGAGTCATAAAACAGACAATAGCCTATTTAATTTTGTATTATTATCTAGAACAAACATTAACACGCTATTGCCTTCATTACGCTTCTACTGAAATAAATAAAAGGATTTAAGCTTGCTCCACAGTATGAAACCAGCCAGTTAATCTAAAAAAAAAGAAAATCTCTATTGTCTGAGACATTAGTTCTAAAAATCCCTCTATACCATTTGTGAATAAAAACCAGTCAACTTTATGCACTGCGTATTTCCTACTGAAGGCAAAGAATTATTGTGGCAGTGAAGAGAGAACAAAGTTGCCATCAATATTCATAATTAAAAAACCCAACCAACCAGAAAGTGTCTATTTGAGGGTATGCTGAAACACTCTGCAGGCTGCATTGATTGAACTGACTGTAATGGGAGATCAGACAGTCAGCATACAAAGAGATACCTAAATACAGGTATCTTAAACTGGAGGTGAATTCTATCCTCACGTTTGCAGACTGACAATACTGTCAAGATCATTTACTTAATCCTCAGTCTTAACAACTTTTATTTCCTATAACTAACACTTCTTTGCAGCTAGAGAACACTTCACAATATGCCAACATTTTCATGAACAACCCTGAGTATAAAATTATAAATAGCTGCATCATAAAACCTATGCTTGTATCTAAAATATATAAATGAATTTTTTGTTATTTGAACCAGTAATATAGACTCTTTATCTATTTCCATAACAAATTCAGTTATAAACAGTATCAAAAATCATAGTATTAAGCTATCTCCAGCACAGTCTTACAACAGCATCATCTTCCTAGACTCTGAGGCAAAGACAAAAATTGGTTATAATGTACAACATCTAGAAAAATCCACAAACCAACACACTCACCTGCAGCAACCCATGAAAATACACTTACAAAGCAGTAATATACAGCCAAGCCATCAAATACCCTCGCATTTATTCTGAGGACAATATTCAGAATACCCATCCAAACAATCTAAACAAAGTTTTTACCCAAAAGGAATATTTTCTAGAAATGCAGATCAGTCTTGACAGTGTTACTTGAGTACTGTTTAAGAACTTACTTCACACTGAAGGAAAACCCCATTGTCTCACACTGTATTGCCCTGGAACTGATAATGGAAAGTTATGGAAAAGTTTCAATCTATACTAAAAAAAATCCTACCTTGAAAAAAAATCTTGTCAGAGCCAGTCCTACTTATTTTTGCTTAAAGAACAATGCTCTTACTAAAATAATTACCAAAAATGACATTCTAAAATGTGGCCCAAAATGCACCAAATAGATCTACAACTATACTGAACAATAAACAGAAAACCTGCAAGCAGCATAATGACCAGCATACTACGTATCACCCAGAAGAGAATCATCAAAATGCCCAGATTCTACATCAACACTTCTCAATTACAATAAACTTCATCCAGTCCATCAAATGCCCTTATGATAAACACACAGATTAAACTAAGCAATCATTATGCACAGGAAGGAATTTGCACAGACAAGCAAATTAAGACAAACATCCAGTTACCAATGAAAGAATATTTCTTGTCTCTCCCTTTCTGATCTCTCAGTCCTGAACCTCAAGAAAGAGCTATAAAATACCTTCAAAAATAGGAGGGGGACTCTACTGAGTCTATTGAGCACCAAAAGTCATGAAAGTAAGGGCTTAATGGCACATTAACCTCCCTCCCCCAAAATGACCCATTCTTTCCTTCAGAGGAAATATCCTTCTTTTTCTTCTCCCAACTCCTCCTCCACCCATCTACTCCAGAAGTGCTATACTTTCAGAGATGATCTAACTTACAGGTAATTAACTTCTAAGGAATTTTTCTCATATGTTTTTAGCTCTTAAGTTTGTGGCTTCTATTTCAGGTTTAAAGAATGATTAAAAAGGAAAAAAACATCATCTCTTTCCTACTTAAACTTGACAGTCTTAGGAGATACCTCTTCATATGAGCCCTGCCTTGCTAATGTCCTCAGAAAATCATAGTTACAACAACATTATCACTATTCAAAAACATTGATGTTTCTACATGCTAAGTCTGTGGAGGAATGGACAGACAATTTTAATGCCACTGATAAAGTAATTAGGCATAGTGTGTGGTCAATTATATCAAAACAAGAGCAGCCTTAAGTAATTCCATACAGAACTTCCTTTTTAGTTTTGCTTTGATTATTTCAAGTGGCCAAGTTGCTTCCGACATGATGGAGGAAAAAAATCCTGGCATGTAAATCTCTTCCACACCCCAGCCCCACCTCTGAATCATGGCATTTAGAATTTAAGAAAAACACTTTCTGTCCACAAAGAAGAAAGGAGTGACAGAAAGTGCAAGTCAATATGGTGATCCTAGAGTAGACATACTGCTAAAAATGGTGAAAGAACAGGGCATGTCTCAAAGGAAAAATAAGACCAACTCTCCATTTCATTCAGGTGTGTTTGCCCAGTCATGGAAAGATTGCCAAGATGGTGCAGAAAAGAAATAGAGTTGTCAACACTGATCATTGCATTTTGAAAAAGAATGGGAAGAAAATATGTGAACAACATCAGAGATAATTAAAAATCAGAGAGGAGGGGGAAAAATCGACGTTACCTGCAGGAACATAATCTCTCGAAATGTTCTCTAGAAATAAACAAAGGAAGTTTATTATCACCTCAAAAGAATGACAGAACAGAGTATGGACTTCCAATGAGAGGGTTAAATCCACTCTAATCTCTAAAGCAGAGGAAACACTTATATGGTAGACAGGCTAGGAAAAACCCAGTCGCTCACTAGAGAGTCACAAGTGTGCTCTCTGTGCTTAGACACTATAGCATAACAACATAAGGGAGAATCAAATTGTGCATGACTATGAAGATAGTTTTTCCTCAGGGACATCAAACAGTATTTTGTAGATGTCATGATATACAAAGCTTGATATTTATCACTCCTTTTTATCCTAATATAGCTGTAGATTGTATTATTACATACATAATTGTCAATAACTAACATCTTTCAGAGACATAAATCCTGAAAATATCTATGAACTCCCACCACATATTTCAGGACATGTTAGAACAATGATTTCTCACCTGAGCATCTGTTCTGTTCCTGAAAGCATCAAAAATCTTTTTAACAGCAACTATTTCTCCTGTCCTGCGATCGATTGCTTTCCATACAATGCCATAAGCCTAGGGAGAAAAAAGGACAGATGAGCAGTGTACTATGACATCTTAAGCACAGTTCAGACCTTCAGTGTGGAAGTAGAACGTACTCAACAGAGGGACTGAAAGAAGAGGTAATCACCAGTGTCCTGGTTTAGGCAGGGATAGAGTTAATTTCCTTCCTAGTAGCTGGTACAGTGCTGTGTTTTGGATTTAGGAGGAGAAAAATGTTGATAACACACTGATGGTTTAGTTGTTGCTAGGTAATGCTTACACTAGCCAAGGACTTTTTAGTTTTCCATGCTCTACCAACTGAGAAGGCTGCAGGTGCACAAGAAGCTGGGAGGGGGCACAGCCAAACTGGCCAAAGAAACATTCCATACCATGTGACGTCATGCTCAGTACATAAACTGGGGAAAGCTGGCCGGGGGGGGGGCACTGCTCGGGGACTGGCTGGGCATCGGTCGACGGGTGGTGAGCAATTGTACTGTGCATCACTTGCTTTGTGTA